TATACTTCGTTAGTTTACAGTAAACGTCGAGGCACCTGTTCAGGGCCATCGTAGTTAAGCTCATCTGACAGAACATTGGACAACTGCTCGCTCTATCTGCCTTTATATAATCTCTGTTTTAGACTCAGATTAACTTTGGAAAATTTCCATATAAATAGTTTTCACATGAAATTTTATTCTTAGCAATGCAAAGATTGCGACTCATTTTGTGATTTTCTCCAAGACGCCCCCCTCCCTCGAATTAAATGCTTAATCGTCCCGTAGAAAATTATGCCAGTAAAATTTATTCCTGGATGAAATCTGTCATCGAAGTTTTCGTGCCAACACGGAAATACCAAGTGAAACCGCAGTCTTTTCCTTGGTTTACTCCTCCATGTTCAGCCGCTATAGCCCACAGGAATTAATTCTTATGGTTATACCAACGTGATAGTTTCGATCATAAGATAGGCTTCTTTGTGTCCGATCGTAATGAGCATAAGCTTGTCCTCACTGTGGCAAAATCTGTTTTGCTGATAGACTTAGACAATGTATAGCCTCTATCAAGTATGATTCTAGAGATCACTGCTGTGTGAGTGTAAAGAACAAGAGTATATACTCAATTACTCCTTTCTTCGATCAGTTTGAACTATTGTCTTTTACTGCTGATAAAGCAGAATGATTTGCTCGGAAATTCTCTTCTAACACCATCATCGAATTTTCAGGAGTATATTTACCTGATTTTAACCCTAGGACGTAATCTTTAATGAATGTTATGTCCATGGTTTCTGTTGTGGAGTGATTTCACAGTGGAGGCTTGTATTTGTACTAAGTCGGTCCTAAAATAGGTTCGACGTACAAAACGTTAGGAACTTGATATAATAGGTATAACGCAGAGTAATCTAGTTGTGGTCACTGATACTTTAGTATTCCACTAACTGTCGTCCGACACCGACTAGTATTTAGTCACCCCCACGAGGGTATCATGGGGCACAAGACCGGTTTAACATGGGATCTACGAGCCCGTGGGATCGGCCAAAAATATACCCTTTGAACCCGTATAAACGGGTTCAGGGTCGGCTTACTTCCCCGAACGAGATTCCGCCGTTCGGCATAGCCTCGTTCGGGTTCCTCCCCGCCCGAAGGCAGTGAGTTCAACCGTTCAGCCGGTCGTCCGACATCGACGCTATTTAGTAACTGCCCCACGCAGTCACATGTGGTACATGGCCGAATTTAATGTGGGGTTCCCGATCTCGTAGGCTCGGCCAAAAAATCCCCCTAGACACCGCATAAACGGGATCGGGTCTGTCTACCTCCCCGGACGAAATTCTGCACTCTGGCATAGCCTCGTTCGGGTTCCTGAAGGCAGAGAGTTCAACCTTTCCGCCGGTCGTCCGACATCGACTGACTGACTGACTCTTACTACTCCTACTTATTATAGGTGGGAGAGTCTATTAACTATAGAATAGGTGTGTTCCACTATAACAGTTTCGCCTATCATCTCCAAAATTTATCTTCAAAAGTCTTCCTGACTTAATTGTATTGCTATAATTTTCTTAAGGAAATGTGCTTCTAAACTGGCTTCTGCTCTCTCCAAATAGTACAACAGATATCTTGCTGCTTTTGACTTTCCTCCTAGATGGAAATCCGCCTCTGTAGTCCGTATGTTAAAGAAGTCAAATTTTGGCAAATAAAAGTAACTTTTTTAACCCTAAATTGGTTAAGCATGTCACTTGAGACGGCCTTCTTTCAGGTAAAATATATGGCCGTTGTATCTGTATGTCAACCGCCGATCTCTTAACTGTTATTACTGAAATTGTCAATGAGGCTCGGGTTGTGGCTTTAGATATCTCGCAGGTTTTTGACAGGGTTTGGATATTAAACCTTCTCCCCGAGAGGGCTATCGGGTCTCTGTCCGGATACTTCACCTAACATAATTGTTCTGAACATAAGAATTAATGAATGAGTTAATGAATGAAGTTTTGAACGATCACGCCTCTAGATAATATCACATTAATGTGCGGTTCCCTCATGTCTCTACCTATGAGCCTACCTTGTTTGCCATTTTAAACAACGACGTGCCCGATATCATCAGTTCTCAAAATGGTACTCATTCTGATGACATATCTATTTACTCTGTTGAAGTAAAAGTGGCAGCTACTCTCGAAACTAATCTCCTATCATTTTAGACAGATTGAAAATTTGAACGCCTCCAAAACAACCCCTCCATTAGCATGGCTGGTGATAACCTTCAGGTAAGCAGCCCATTGCATTTTCTTGGCCTCACGTTTCTACTAACATGAAGTGGAATGATTATATTGAATCAATTATTAGTTCTGCTGCTAAGAAGTTTTGTTCACTGTAACGTGCTATATATTTGTCTCAACAGAATTCATTTTGCTCAATGATATGGAGTGAAATAATGGATAGCGGCACGAATTGATAAATGGGAGAGCCGAGTTCAAATTCCAGTCAGATCCATTACATTCACTTATGTGCTAATAGCTTGAGAAAGTCATGAATCCTTTTCTTCTCCCGCAGCTATGGGTAAATAGCAGGACAGTCCGGATTCTATAGCCTTGAATGGCAACTGGTCTCCCTCAGCAAGAAATGGCATCGTACTGCGGGAAGAATCTGCCTCGTCAGTCATGTATCGAAAGACAGATAATTGCCTAAGTGTGTACCACGCATGGAACATAAATGACTGAATGATAAATCTACCATTCATCCTTGCATTGCATATTGCTGCCATATCATTGGTCCTGAACAAGATTTTTTTTCTCCACTCATATTTCCATCTCCGTCTTCCCTCTGTTTTTTTTTTTAAATATTTTCAAATCATGTGTACCTCGACTGTATGAATTTACGCGTTATACGAGTTTGGCTGCTATGTTTCATTGCATCTCTGTCAAATTACATAGAATATAACTGTAAGTTCTATTCTAATAATTCATTTTCTCCCATTTTTCAAGTATGGAAATAGTTTCCAATTTCCTTCTCCCCTGTGAACTCCAATGCTGAGAAATTTAAAAACAACATCAATCGCCATCTTCTGCCCTCCTGAACTATGTTCTTTTAATATCATTTTCTTAAACTGAAGTCTTGTCATTCTTTACCGTTCACAGAAGACCCTTTTGTCTTAGTGGCATTATCACCTTGCTTGTGATGAAATGACTAAAAGAATATGTGAAAGATGTATTATCACAGAAAATTTGGTCACTGTTTTCAAAATAAAACATAAATATAATGCTATTTTATTACGTTTAAGATAGTCAGAATTAATAATGGTTCTACCTTTTGATCATAATCAGAACTTTGGAAAACGTGTGGAAGGTTATCGTTATGTCATTAATCTTGAATATATAATGACAATATCAATATTTACAGTATTTTTACCAACATATTTTTAAATACTGGATTTGAATTTTAGATTTTACATCAATCCAAGAACATATGAACTGTTATTACATCCTTAAAGTTTAAGTAAATACTTTACATTTTTATAAGTATTTCAATTGAAGAAATTAAAGTATTATTCTACGGAGAGTCCACCATTGTTGTAGTATCTTATCCACATCTGCGTTAGTAAATTTAAGAAATTATAAACAGTAGTTGCCAGATATAAATACAACCTTATACCATAGTGTTTGTGATGTTTATATCTTTTTCCAATGTAAATTTACAAACGTATTGGGAAAGCTACTGTTTATTATTTAAATTTGAATTATCGGTCACATATTTGTTATTATTCTTACAATGTTTTGGCCATTGTGACAACAGGCCTACAACAGAAACTTTCAGGTAATATACAACTGATCTATTACATTAATCTATATGAGTAGATTGTTCTTATTCCGTTGTCTATGTCCAAGTGTTACCTATAATACATGTACACCTAATGCCGATTTAAGTCACAATTACTATCGCACCAACTTCATAAACGAACATATCAATAGATTAGGCTATTTTCTAATTAGCGCAATTCTGACTCTAGGTCTTGAAGCATTTAACCTAATCTACTTGATTTCGAGCGTGCTTCTGTCACTGCTAATACTTATCGTGCTTGACTGATTTTCATTTTTTCTGCCTTTGTTACAATTGAAGCTTTGTTGTCATTTTTAATTATTTATTAACGGCTCTCTTATTGCGTGTACTTATATACAAAGCCTATTTCGGGACAATTCATAGCTTATAATATGTCTTGATTCCTTCAAAGGTCATATTTTCCAGTGTTCTTCTCTTGTATTTTATTGTCACGATAAATTATTATGTCTAATTGCATTGTCTCAATCTAAAATATGATTTTCGATTTTCTTTCAGATTACTTTTTGTAATATTTACCACAGATGCAAGCGATGGATTACAGTTTTTACACGCAGTTTTTGGATATCGACAGAGGTTTTAACATAGGATTGAGCTGCTTCTGAATATTTTCCCTTATGTTCCATCTTTGACCTCAGAGAGAGAGGGAGATAGAGAGAGAGAGAGACCGTACAACCACTCAATCAGAATCAGACGGACTGCAGAATTTGATATACTTTTTGCAGGTCAATTTTAATATTTTTGTTGCTTTCAGAATGTACAAATAAATTGAAACTTGTAGAATGTCTGCTTCAGACGCAAAGGTTGGACATTGCTGATCGGAAAAAATTACAATTTTTTATTCACACTTTTGTATTCAGTTTATACATAAAAACAATGCATTTTAATTCTAAATTATTATTTAGAAAAATTGTAATGTAATTTCAATTTCTTTTTCTTTTCTCGATTTAAATAATTTAAATATATTAATAAATTTAATTAAGGTTATTTTTTTTAGATTTAGAAACATTGTGTGTGATTATTATGTAAATATTTATATAAAATGTAAAATTATACAATTTACATTTTTCACGTTATGTCCTTAAATTGAAATGACATCCAGAATATCGCCTCATCATAATGTTTACTTAACACTAATATTCATGTTGTACAACTGTGTCTATCTTTAAATATATGGTCGGTATAGCAATTTTTTTCAAAAGGTATTACTTTGTACCACACATTAATCTATCTATCTATCTATCTAATAGGAGTAGGTAGTCTCTTCTACCGCCCGGTCAACACCGCTCCCCCTTCTTTTGGACATGAGTCGAGGCTTACACCTTGTTTCTTGGCTAGGAAGGGGTTCCCGGTATTCTTTCTCTCTCCGGCCTCTGTATTCGTGCAGCTCAGTTTCTCCCGTGATGTGTGCAGTCTGTGGCATCACCTCTTCATTCTGAGGGTACACGGTTGACAGTTCTCTGGTTGCTGTTTCCGACTGGTAGTTAGGAGCCCTAACTCTTGCGTATCGTCTTGAGCGGCCGCTCTGATCAACAGTTGTATAATACCGGGGTGTTTGTAGTGCCATGTCGCGCATGGAAAGGTGTCCCTGCAGTCACCTCCGGTGGGCATCCCCGAGGCCACATAATGAAGGAGATTTTGCCAAGTCCTCTCTGCCCGCGTCACGTTCGAAACTGTCTGATTCTTTTACTTCGGGCCTTCTCATCTTACAAACAAAATTCAATATGAGTTACAAAAACCGAAAGATTAACCCTAAACCAGCCTCTCAAAAACCACCTAAACCTCTCAGCATTTCGTTCTCCAACATCCGGGGCATTAGGACAAACTTCTGTAGTCTGGAATCTTTCTTCACTGTAAACGGCCCGGATGTACTGGCTCTCTGTGAGAAAAACTTTGTCTCGTCTATCCCCTCTTCTGATCTCTCGATCCCCGGCTATCTTTCTCTCCTCCGAAAAGACTCTCTAACCCACATGCACGGTCTTGGTGTCTACGTCAAGGAACATCTCCCTCTGGCCAGAGAGTTGTCTCTCGAATCGCCAGACCAGTCCTACATGTGTCTCCGACTCTCTCTCCTCAATGCGGTAAGCTATCTCTTCTTCCTTTACCGCTCTCCATCCTCTCAAGACTGTGGGATACTTGATAGCATTTCCGACAGCATAGACAAGGCTCTCTCCCTCCACCCGTTTGCTCACATTTTTGTGTTTGGAGACTTTAACGCCCATCACACCTTGTGGCTTAAGAATGCTACTACTGACCACGCAGGCATTCAAACGCTCAATTTTTCAATTCCCTCACACAGATAATTAACTTCCCCACTCGTTTTGCCTTCAACCGGGAAGGTAAAGCCTCTCTTCTCGACCTGTGCTTTACCTCCATCCCCGAATCCTGCAGCGCCTCGCAACTCTACCCTCTTGGTAACTCTGATCATGCAGTAGTATCAGTTAACATCTCCTTCAACTCCACCCCCTATAAAGAACCTCCTACCACTAGAACTTCGTTCTACTATCAACGAGCTGAATGGGACTCGTTCCGTGATTTCCTCCGCGATGTCCCCAGGTATGGAGTCTTTAAGCTCCCCGTCCAAGAATGTGCTTCTGAGGTCTCTTCCTGGGTTAAAACTGGAATCGATGCTTTCATCTCATCAAGGAAATATAGGGTCAAGTCGCGCTCCTCACCCTGGTTCTCGGCTGCTTGCTCAGCCGCCATCACTCATAGGAACCACTACTTCCATCTATTCCGTAGCGACATGTATGACTGCAATAGACGTCTCTTTGCCTCCGCCCGTAACGAATGTAAGCGTCTCCTCAACGATGCTAAGTCACTATTTGCGGCTCGGATGAAGGAACGTATTGTATCTCTCAAATTTGGCTCCAAAGATTATTGGCGTCTCTGCAATAGCGTATTGAACGATTGCAAACACTCTATACCTCCTTTATTCAACCAGTTCGAAGTCCTGACCTCCTCTACCGACAAGGCTGAATGCTTTGCTCGGAAATTTTCATTCAACTCGACGCTCGACTCTTCGGGTGTACCCATACCCGACTTCCGTCTTAGAACTGAGGCCATATTGAGTGGGTTAAACATAACCCCATCTTTGGTACTGGGCGTTATCTCCAATTTAGACCCCAACAAGGCTAGTGGTGGAGACGGGATACCAGCCATTGTCTTGAAGAATTGTGCGCCTGAACTGGCGCCCGCCCTTTCTAAACTATACAACTACTGCCTCAAGGAATCTTGTTTTCCTGACTGCTGGAAGTCCTCTTTGATCGTTCCTGTCTTCAAGAACTCCGGCGACCCCTCTGACCCTTCCAACTACCGTCCTATCAGTCTCCTTCCCCTCTTCGGCAAAATCTTTGAAGCCCTAATCAATACCGGGGTGGTTAACCACCTCACATCCCATAATCTGCTCTCAGACAAGCAATATAGTTTCCGCTTTGCCCGATCTACAGCCGCTGTGCTTACGGCCATCACTGAAATAGTATACCGAGCTCTTCAAAATAACGGGGAAGCCCAAGCCGTGGCACTTGGCATCTCCAAAGCATTTGATAGGGTTTGGCATTTCGGCATTCTTCGCAAGCTCCAGGGTTATGGCATTAAGGGTCGATTATATAACCTAATACGATCATTCCTGTCAAACCGTGAATTGAAGGTCGTTCTCAACGGATTCTCCTCCAGTTCCTATCCCACGAACGCAGGTGTTCCTCAAGGCTCCATCCTAGGCCCCACTCTATTCCTTATCTACATAAATGACCTTCCTGACGCCATAAGTTCCCAAGTTGGCATCTACGCGGATGACACCACAATTTATTCCTGCCTCAAAAACAAATCTAGTCTCGCTGACAAAACTCACCTGGCCGTGCGTCTCGAAAAGGACCTCCAATCGATTGTGAACTGGGGCATGAATTGGCTGGTCAACTTCAACGCTTCTAAGACAAAACTGCTCTCTATTAATCACCACAGAGATCCTTCCCTTCCCTCCATTAGAATGTCTGACGCTCAACTTCTCGAGAGCAACTCTATGCGGCTTCTCAGTCTCACGTTGACTGCTGACCTGAGATGGAATAAATATATTGAGTCAATCGCCTCGTCCACCGCAAGGAAAGTTGCTCCCTGAGCCGCGCCAGGAAGTTTTTCTCCACGGAGTCGATCCTCCAGATCTACAAATCCACAATTCGCCCTTGCATGGAGTATTGTTGCCATATATGGTCTGGTGCCCATTCTGTTTGCCTCGGGGTTCTTGATAGGCTCCAGAGGCGGATATGCAATGTAGTTGGCCCTGCCGTGGCGTCACGTCTACAGTCACTTTCTCACAGACGCGCCGTCGCCTCCCTCTGTCTGTTCTACAAATACTTTCATGGAAATTGCTCCGAGGAGCTGCATTCGCTGGTTCCCAGACGTCATGAGTTCCAGCGCCTTACGAGGCTGGCATCCCGCTCTCACCCCTTCACTGTCGAAACTCATAAATGTAGCCGTCTCTTCTACTCTAATAGCTTTATGTCTCGCACCTCTCGCCTGTGGAATTCCCTTCCCTATTCCTGTGTCATTCGACATCTCCAGTTGCCTTGATCTATCCACTACCCTTCTCCTCATACCCTCTTCTATCACTCTTATCTGATCTTGCTCTAAATTTTCTGTAACCCCTTGCATCTCAGTGGCTTCCCGTATTGCTTGGGGTGAAATGCTTAAAAAAAATCTATCTATCTGTCTCTTCTCTCTCTCTCTCTATCTATATCTATCTATCTATCTATCTATCCTTCTATCTCTCTCTCTCTCTATATATATATATATATATATATATATATATATATATCTATCTATCTCTCTCTCTCTCTCTCTCTCTATATATATATATATATATATATATATATATATATATATATATATATATATAAATGTAACGAAAGCGAAAAAGAATATAAATTCAAAAGTTAATAACATTAATTTAAAAGAGGGTTCAATACCAAATGTAGAGCACTAGTCATAAGTTGTTACATACGAACAAACAAGTAATCACTACAAAGATGTATATTTGTTTCGATGCCGAAACATAAGTATCTCATCAGGTGTTGAATTAAGATTTGTTCACCACCTGTTGAGATGTTTATGTTTAGGCATCAAAACAAATATGCATCTTTGTAGTGATTACTGTTCATATGTTTGTTATATATATATATAACTTATATATATATATATATATATATATATATATATATAATATCACACATTGAATTCTGGTGTTAACAAAATAATCTCGATATAATAGAGCTAAATCTTGAGTTAGTAATAAATATACACATATTTCTTCTTTTCGCTGTCGACTAAAACTGACCGTTGTATAATATAAATTTTTATATTTATTCTGTACTTTAATCTCATTGGAACAATCTATTTATTTACGGGAATACTGAGTATAAAATTATATTTCGGGAATAAAATTTGGATTAAATTATCACCAACTTGGCAGTTGTTCTTAGTTTTTTCACGTACAACTGTATCACTGGTAGTAACTTTATTTACCACGATTTTTAATTCAAATATTTCCATCTGTACTGACTGCAACTAAATAACAGAAAGAAAATCTCTATTTTCATTTCACCCAAACCTGAAGCAATTATGAGTTTACGCCATTAGTATTGACCAGGGGCGACGTTGCTTAACATACCCGATCAAAGAGAACCGATGTATTAAAAAAGATATGACGGTTTGCTACCTACGTTTTCAGATGGTAGATTTTATAAGTAAGGCAACTCAAAAGCAAGAGCGGTGACAAATAACAAGTTTCTTGCAGTATCAGTTCACTACGTTTTCCTCAGTAGTAAAACAGATTGAAATACCAGTGAGCATTTTAATGCCCTTTTGGAAACCTTAGGAAAGTCCGTGTCTTGAAGCTTAAAAAACCCAACTCAGTTATGCACATTCATAGAATGGTTTTAACTAAAAACGCTCATTATAAAACAGTACGCCGTAAACTCCATAAATATTCGTTTAGCCGCCGTTGTAGAGGTAAAGGAATTATTTACACGCTCTTATTTAACTGCTTACCCTTAGGCAATGTAACATTTTTTCCATTTGCTTATTACTAAGATGTCTTCTTTCTTATCAGCCAAGAATGATACAATTGCTTTCATTTGTTCTTACGTCTATGCGCCTATAATTTAATAATATTTATCTCAGTTAATTTAATAATATATTTATAAGTTTATTTTAATGCAAAATTTAAAAGTATTCTTTTATTTCGTCTCGTTTGATTTTATATCGTTTGATTCGAAATTTTAGTGAATACCCTTCCTCATGTCATCTCAGGTCCTTAAGGCTTATTTTTCCATATATTCGAAATTCCTTTAATTAATTGTGGATGCCACTTTATATAATAACATTTCAACCCGTTTTATCATATTAATATTTGGTTTCTGTCTGTCTGTCTGTCTATCTATCTATCCGATCAATAATCACTTCCACCAAAATTTGGTCAGTTATGAGAAAGTCTTTCAGTCAGAGAACATCACAGCACACATATTTTCATTTTCATATTTCTTTCCTTTATTTCTATAATTTCAGAATTCATTTAATATGTTCATCGTTAACTTAAAATATAATGATAATAAATATTACACATCTATGCTATAGAACTGTCAAAAACTACATTGATTTTCCATTCTGTCTAGATATACAGCATTTTCATATCAATTGTAAAATTATCAGTTCAAAAATAATTTATTCTGTTCACCCCAATATTTGTATTTTTATTACATTCTTTAATATATCTATCTATTTATCTGTCTATAAATATGTGCATATATGCATGTGTGCATGCACGTGTTGAGAGGTAAAGAGAGAGAAGAGAAGAAAAAAATTAGAGAGAGTATTTTTGTTCTTGACACATTCACGATATCCGTCTATTTATATCTGTATTTTAATAATTGTTACAGGAGACATCTATCTATCTATCTATCTATCTCATTCCGTTTCGTTATTTATTTTTCTGTCAATTAATATCAATATATTTCTTTGTTTCATTAAATCGATACGTCTACCTATCTATCTATCTATCTATCTATCTATGTTATGGCAATTATCTATCTATCTATCTATCTATCTATCTATCTCCGTTTCTCTATCTTTATTTATATCTATCTATCTATTTCTTCATTAAATCGCTTCTATCTATCTATCTATCTATCTATCTATCTATCTATCTATCTATCTATCTATCTATCTTCTATCTATCTATCTATCTATCCATCTATCTATCTATCTATCTATCTATCTCATTTGTTTCATTATTTATTTTTCTATCAATTAATATCAATCTATCTTTCTTTTTCTTAAATCGATACGTCTACCATCTATCTATCTCTATCTATCTATCTATCTATCTATCTATCTATCCTATCTATCTCATTCCGTTTCTTATCTTTTATTTATTTCCTGTCAATTAATATCAATCTATTTCTTTCTTTTCATTAAATCTATCTATCTATCTATCTATGCTTCTAAGCTTTGGTCATTATCTATCTATCTATCTATCTATCTATCTATCTATCTATCTATCTATCTATCTATCTCATTCCGTTTCTCTCTATCTTTATTTATTTTCCTGTCAATTAATATCAATCTATTTCTTTCTTTCATTAAATCGCTACATCTATCTATCTATCTATCTATCTATCTATCTATCTATCTATCTATCTATCTATGCTTCTAAGCTTTGGTCATTATCTATCTATCTATCTATCTATCTATCTATCTATCTATTTCTCTCTATCTTTATTTATTTTCCTGTCAATTAATCTATCTATTTCTATCATATCTCGCTATCTATCTATCTATCTATCTATCTATCTATCTATCTATCTATCTATCTATCTATGCTTCTAAGCTTTGGTCATTATCATCTATCTATCTATCTATTCTATTCTATCTATGCTTCTAAGCTTTGGTCATTATCTATCTATCTATCTATCTATCTATCTATCTATCTATCTATCTATCTATGCTTCTAAGCTTTGGTCATTATCTATCTATCTATCTATCTATCTATCTATCTATCTATCTATGCTTCTAAGCTTTGTTCATTATCTATCTATCTATCTATCTATCTATCTATTTATCTATGCTTTGTTCATTATCTATCTATCTATCTATCTATCTATCTATCTATTTATCTATGCTTCTAAGCTTTGTTCATTATCTATCTATCTATCTATCTATCTATGCTTCTAA